CCCTTTAGCCACTGAGCCAAAATGGCTGGGACTAGAATTCCTTTATAACCTGCCGAGTACTGGACTGTTGCAGAACGTGGTCCTATTCACTGGATTGGTGAGCTCCCCAGAACCCCGGGAGGACCCATGTCAATCCGTCTTCTCAACTCTCAAGTATGCTGACCACTCATATTTTCAACAGTTAATAGAAGCTGTTGTCAACAAAATAAGGTCATCTCCCGTGTGTGTGCCGCAGTACTTCAGCGCTTTGCTGTGGTCCCTTGCAGACTCTGAGGGAGCAGCTCCCAGGGGTGGGATGTTGGATGCTTCTGCATTGAGTTCACAGGCCCATGGGCTGCTCTGCAGGTGGCAATGCTGACCAACCCCTCTCAGGTGGGCTTCTCTTTACCTCTTCCTGGGACATTGAATTCGTTTCCTTGACATTGAGCCACATCTCTGGGCAGATGCTCCCCAAATCTGGGTGTGCAGCTGGGGCCTCTCTGGATGCCTCAGGGCATTTGCCCTGCCTGGGAATCGAACTGTGACCTCCTGGTTCATAGGTCGACGCTCAACCACTGAGCTATGCGGCTGGGCAACTTGCACTTGAATCTTTTAAGTCAAAGCATTGCTCCCCTTCAATCACTTTCAACCCCCAAACTGGGAATTGCAGGCGACAGGAGAGTGCGTGGTGCAGGGTAAGTGCTTTGACTCCACAATCACACTGACCTGGGTCATCCCCATTTGATAAAGGAAAAGACACAGAGACCTGAAGTAACTTGACGGAGGTCAATAGCCGGGGAGTGAGCACTCAGGGTTTGAAACGGGATTGGGCCCCAGGTGGGTTGGCTCAGTGGATAGAACGGCGACCTGCGGGTACAAGAGTACCAGGTTCAATTCCTGTCAAGGGCACATGCTCTGGTTTTGGGATTAATCCTGGGGGGTAGGGGTTGGGGGAGCCTAGAGGAGGCAGCCGATCAATGATTCTCTCTTATCATAGATATTTCTATCTTCTCTCTCTCTCTCTCTCTCTCTTCCTCTGAAATATTAAAAAAAAAAAGCCCTAGCCGGTTTGGCTCAGTGGATAGAGCATCGGCCTGCGGACCGAAGGGTCCTGGGTTCGATTCCAGCCAAGGGTTGACGTACCTCAGTTGCAGGCTCCTTCCCAGCCCAGGCCCTGGTCAGGGCGAGTGCAGGAGGCAATCAATCGATGTGATTCTCTCACATCGATATTTCTCTGGCCTTCTCTCTTCCACTCTAAAAATCAATGGAAAAATTATCCTTGTGTGAGGATTAAAAGAAAGAGGAGGCG